TCGAAAATGGTGAGTAGGAGATGAGGATAATATCCATTATTGAAACACGCATAACATGTGAATTACCTATTTCATAAAAATAAGAAGCCCGCAATTTGTAATCAAGGTTTACTTTATACTTCTTTCGAGATAATTGAAATATATTCCCTTGAGTCCCTGAGCTGTACATAAGCTTCGAAGATGACATTACCTGGCAGAGACATACAGAAGTTTTCTTTTCAACCTTCCAAAGCTCGATAGCTTCTAAAAGCAAAGTATCGTAATAAGCATGATCTAACGTATCTATATTAAGATCCACACTGTGCTGACGATAGATGAGCGTAGGAATTAGAAAAGTACTGTAATGAATGTATAACTCAAATTATCCGATAATATGGAACTGGAAAAGTATAGAAGTCAATTATTGGTTCGTTAATAACTCTCATAGTTCGCTTCAAAATTCTTAGATAGTTTGAAAACTCCAATTTATCAAATCTTTTGCACTTTTGTGTTTGGAAGAGAATCAAAACAGAGCTACAACACAATAAAAGTTCATCTCCATACATTTGACTTGCGAAACAAATTAGAAGTTCGGCGAATTACTATTCTGAGAGAAGTTTACTCAACATTTTTTAAATTATCAAATATAATTCAATAGTTGAACTTTTCTATTCGATCAATTGTAATAGCCTTTGGAATTACTGTAATAAAACTTTGACAAAATTTTTATGTCATAAAAAGACTATCTTTTTTTTTAGATATTTCCGTCGATTATTAGTCCAAAACTATTGGAAGAAGAGTATGATATGATAAGATAAATGACCTCGGAGTTAAGATCATTTCCTTCATTATCAACTGCATTTGTTTGGCATTCCTAACTATTCTGAATACATACTGTCGAAGCCATTCAAAAGCAAGCGCTTTAATTCCTGCACGTCGTGGTTGATTTGGATCAAGTTCCCATAATTTCCATGAATCCATTTCATTATAAAAATGTCCAAATGGATCATCTAAACCACATTGTTGAAACAAAGTTTTAACAAATGCTCTAAAAAAAATAAAATTTTAATTAGCAAATGAATGAAAACGTTTTTTAATAATAATTCTGTACCGAATTTGTTCGCCACCTTCTAAATACCAATAAATAAATTCAGCAATAACTTCCATAGTCATTTTATTGAAGTGAGCTAATAAACGAAGGTAAGTTGAAATAAATTCAATATCATGTATTCCATAATTAGGTGAATTAAATTTAGTTAAATGAAATAAAATTCTATCGATTAATGTATCACATGTTTGATCATTTATTGGATTTGTACGATAGAAATTTTCAATTTCATGTAAAACTATAATTCGATTTTCAACGTTGGAAATAAAATCTAGACGTTGTAATACATCAGGTGGGAATGCATTTTCATCACAATTTTCAAGAAAAATCTATAAGAAATGAATAGTGTTATTTAACTTTTCGTTAGAATTGAAAAAGATTTTAAACATACATCAATTTTGACTAATGGATATTGTTCTTCAAACCAATTTAATTCTTTAAGTTTATCAATAAAATGTGCAAATGATGACGAAAATTGGCGTGGAGTTTTAACACGTGTTTCAACTGTTTGTGTTGATTCAGTAACAACTGGTATTAATGGTTTAACAGGTATTCGAGCTGGTTTTGATGGTGCAGAAGGTTTTACAACTGTTGGTGGACGTCGTAATGGAGTTTGTCGAGATAATCGATTAACTGTTTGTGATGAACTTGGAGGTGCTCCAGGCTCCTTTGAACAGACAATTAAAAATAGGAATAATATAAAAGTTGCAAAAATGAAAGA